TTTTATGTAAGACAGGGACCAAACGTGTAACAAAAACAAACAGTATGGACCTTCCGAGTTAGAAAAATAAGTTAGGGACCAAACATACAAATTACCCTAAACCATAGGGACCATTCGTGTAATTTACCCATATATATATATATATATATATTATATATATATATATATATATATAATATATATATATATATTGAATTGATTGGTATCGTGCTAATGAAAACTTTGTAACACTATCAATATTTTTGGTTCGATTGGTAACATGTTTGTTAGTTTTCTGTGGTACATATTTGTCGTCACTGTCTAAGTCTCAGGGTCTATCATAAATAAAAAATATTTACATAATTAAAAATAAAAATAACAAAAACTAGTGAAGTATCTCCGATTTGCAGGGATTGGATATGCATTCAACTGTTTGCAAAAAGAACTTAAGATTGATATTTTATTTATATAGAGATTAACATGGAACTCATTACAGTAGGATGATATAGTTGGTTGACTTTGAAAATACGATACTAAAAAATGAAATAAAATAAAAGTACAACTACGTTGTTATTACATGTTTGTACATCAGCAGTAGTTCCAAAAATATCCATATAATTTTCATTTACCAAAGCATCAGGTTCAAAGGGATAATATTGTCTTTTTTTTACCTGAAACACATATAAACCATTAGTTTTTAGGTGATAATTGTAAATCTTCAATGCATAATTCTAGAATTTATTGTTATTGTGAACAACTTACAAAGAAAGTGGGTCATGACACAAAAATAGTATTGTACTTTCTAAAAATATTAAACATAAATGTAAAAAAATAAATTTCGATAAATATGAAAATTAAATAGTACGTTGCTATACAGTACTTATAAAAGATAAGATGCCAACAACGACGAGGTTGATATCTACAAAATTTTAAAATAAATAGTAAATGTTTCCTCATTTTTATTAATCCAAAATGTAGATGAACTGAGGAGTGGCTTTGGAAGGTCTTGTTTTGCTACAAAAGTTTGTACATTTAAATTGAGCATAGTTAGATGGAAGGAAGATGGGGTATGTGGTAGGGGTGTAACATTCAATTTGATTGGTTATCGTTTAAAAATGTTAATACATTCTTTGACTCCTCATTTGTAATTTTATGGAAAAACAATATAATGGTTAACAAACAAAATGTTTGTCCTTAGATGACATAAAATCAAACAATAAGAATAATAAAATGGTTTGTTTTTGTATAATTTGTGGGACAAATATTATACATTTGGTTTATAGATTATACATAAAAAGAGGAAAGAGGGAGTAGGAGTAGTGGGTTAGTGAGAAAGGGGTATCATAGCCATGTAACTGAATATTTTGTTATCTAATTTCGTAATATATGGTCATATTGCTAACTTGGACTTTAGTACAAAGCTCTACTTGTGGTCTCGACCTTAAAAATGTTCAATAGTAAAAAACAAATGCAAGTAGACACATAACAAAATCACCTTAAAAAATAATACTGATATCTTTTAGAAAATTATTAAAAAAGAGTATCTTTGTTAGTGTGACCTGGAATAACCTCACTTGTAGAAAACATGGTTTGAGGATAAGATGGCAATGGCTTTTGGAGGTGGGGTATGTGTCCCATGCTTTGATATATTCTCGTGAGACATGTCTCATAAGTTTGTTCCTGTATTGAAGCTCCCTATTGAATATATTTTCCATAAATCATTATATATAATAATAATAATAATAATAATAATATCATGTATTTGTATGCATGGTAACATGGGGTATACTCAATGTATTTATTTTATAGAACAATTATGTTTTAGATATACTCTATTGTTATGAATATTAATAAATAAACATTTAGTGAAATTAGGAGAATAGTTGGAATTACGAAAATGATAGAGAGTTCAATTATAGGTGATGATGGATCACTCAAGAGTTTTTTGTAGTTGTCAGGGAGAGCATTTGAACTGTAGTATTTGATATAATTCTTAATGGTTGATTAAAGTAAGTACCATGCAGCTGGTAATGTTCACATTAGTTGGTCAAAAGCTATAAATGGCTCTCCCAAGAAAAATGTAATTTTCAGGTCAAGTAAATCTTTAAGATCAGATGCAAGTAAGGCATAATGATACGATAGTACCTACAAAATGTCAATTTTAGCATTTAAAAAAAAGGGAGAAAATAATAATAACTATTTTTTGAGAATAAATTTTATGTACCATTGCCAAGAACATACTCCTTAATAGTAATATCATGATACCCAACATAATCCTTCCACATAATGCAATACCTAAAGAAAAAATTTATTAATTAATTTTTGTTTATTAAGCAAACTTATGGTAAAACTTAAAAGACTCAAAGGAACTGACCATTTTCCTTTTAACCTATTCAATCTCCTTTAGATCGGATAAATTTACCTTCTCCTTATAATATCTTTCCTTACACCAAGGTTCGCCCAATTTTATTTGTGAAAAAAATAAAGAAAAGTTAAAATGGTTTAATATGTAAAAAAAATACTACTCATTCTAGTTTCAAGAGGATTTATATTTTAATGTACCTTGCCAACTACTGGAACCATAGGCTTTTCGACGACCTCTTGTCTTGCTTTACGCCTCATATCTTCATTGTTCTCGTATGAATAAAATCAAAACAACATAATATATTTCTACCATCATTTATAAGTTATTATAAGAGCTAAGAAACACATAAAATTTATAGTGAGATAAGAAGAATACTCTTATGCTTTATGGGAGTTGAGATTTCCATTTTCCAAATTCACCTTTTGTATGTAATCCTGTTTTTGAAATATTTAGTCTTCATAAGTTGCAATTGCCTGAATAAACTACTTAAATTTGTCCATTAAAACAATAACAAACATGATTTTGTTACTGCAATAAGACATAAATTTATGATACATTGTAACCGTAAAAGAATGAGAGATTGCATGTATTTCCCATTTATTTTTTCGAACGTGTTGAAATGCCATAACTAACACCATGATAATTAAAAATGAACACAAATGGTGATGAAAACTTAAATTCGTAGGAACGTGAACATGATTATAAATGAACACAAATGAAGAATATGAAGCCTAATAAAATAAACATGAAACATCAAATTTTAAATAGAGATGGAGAAGGTTATTGTCGAGCCTCGTTGAAAATATGTTGGGTAAAACATGGGTAGATAGATGATGAGGGATAAACGATGATATAGAGAAACATTGGCAGTATGGACATAGTGCCCTATAGGTGAACATTGGCAGCAATGGACTTAGAACCCTATATATGAGCATTGGCAGCTGCACCACAACCTATAGATGTTTTTGATCTACGATGTACTCTAACGATTGTATTGCCAGTTGCGCCTAATAGAGAACATCACAACCCTGGCAGTTGCGCTTAAGGGATAATATTAGCAAGTGCGCCTCATAGAGAATGTCATAATTCTGGCAGCTATGCCTAAATGGTAATATTGGCAGATGTGATTAATAGATAACATTGACAGCTATATCATTGGCAACGATGGACTTTGTGCCTATTCGTTAGGACAATCCTTATGAATGAATGAATGAATAATAGTTGATTCTTAGGGTAGATCCTTAAAAATAAAGAAGATAATGAGGATGGGTAATTGGGTTGACTGTTTGATGTTTAAACATAATAACTATATTATTGTGGGTTGAAAACCTTATGTACTCACCAGGTTTCCCAACATGACTCACTCAATTTATTTGTATCACAGGTGTCGATATGAAGCTACATTACACCGAGAGATTAAGGAGATGTAGATCACTAGCGTAAATGGATGTAAGGTCTGTTTATGCTTATGTTTCTGTATTGACAATGACATCCAAGTTTTAAAATGAATAAAATACATTTCTTAGGAAATGCTTTGATAACATATTTATCATGTTTTTCTAGGAGCAAATTCCGCAACACTTTATAAAATGTTACTCTGATTTTCAAATAAAGCATAAACAAAATCGGTCTTTTTTGGCCGTGAAAATGGGGATGTCACTATAGAAGGTTAGTGGTGGAGAGAGTAGAGGGTAGAATAAGTGTAAAACCCAAAATGCTTTGATGTATCAATCGAATTCACTTGATGGTGTGAAATCCCAATCAAATGAATTAGACAAGACGAAATATTGAATCAGAAAAAATTAATCTTTAATGCACACTATTATTGAATAGTCGGGTACCTAAGATTCTTGATTACACATGTTTCTCTCTAAAATCACGTTCTAAGCAATATGGCAGCCCCCAAAACGTCCCTTACTCCTATCAAGACTAAAATAACACTATTTATACCTAGACCTAATAACAAAGGTCAAGCCCAAAACCCAAACAAAATTATATTAAGCCTAACCGAAATCACATGCGATTTCGGTCCAAACAACACCAAAACATGGTGTTTTTGGTCCTAGACCGAGACCTATAATAGCTTATGAAAAGCAAAGTATAAACACAACTTATGACCTAACAATCTCCCTCTTGGTTTATAGCTTTCTTTTCTTATGTCCTAACAATCTCCCCCTGGGATTGTAGCTTTCTTTTCTTTTCAATCTTTGATTTGTTCTTGGCTTCAACTTTTATCTTCGATTTCTTCACAACTTAAAGATGAACATATGAATCTTCATGAATAACTTTATCTTTGGTTGTTGGACTTCCTTCTAAGAATTTGACTTTGAATGCACATTGGGTATGGAGGCTTCTTATATAGATTATTGAAAATCAGCACTTGCAGCTTTGAGAAACTTCAAAGAAAATATCATAGAGACTAATTCTTCTGGATCACTTCAGCAGGTTCACGAATAGCAACAAATTGATTGAGGAGGCTTCAATACAATATGTCACATAACTTCAAGTACAGTTTCACATTGCTTCTAGGGTTGAAAGATTAAATGTTGAAAAATAATCTTCACTTCTTGTTCCTTCGAATGAGAATTCTTTAATGATCACCGTTGCGCCTTGAAAACAAACAAATGACTAAAGAGTCCCTATGGATCATAGAATCATAAAGACCCTTCTCACCACAGTTGTTCAAGGAGCGAGCCTTGGCTCAGAATGAGACTACTCGCACTATCTGTGTGAGCACAGAGGAACACACTGCGATTTGTTGAGTATCGGAGAACTACTCTTGGCTAGCTTGATGTTAGCCCCTGCATATCCTTAATCAAAGATCTCAATACAGTTTTTCAAGTTAACACGTTAACTTGGCCCTTGGCGAGACGTTCAACGATATATGTTTCCCTGATAGGTGAATCGCCTTAGTGCCATTACAGTTCTTAGGTAAAGAAAGATGACAATACCAATTTGACAATCTGTACAGTTTCAGACTTCTAATTCCTTAATTACGACAGTTCTTAGAGAGAAACCACTTAACTGACATTTTGTACAGTGTCACAACAGGTATAAACCATTATCCATCAATTTAATGGGTGAAAATATCTAGAACATTAAAATGTTCACCGTCAATTCAGAAATGGATGGATTTTGGATTTTGGGTTTCACTTAGAATCATGGTGACATAGATTTCCAAGATCATAAGCACAAAATTGTTGGTAACTGTCAGCCGAGTTGTTTTCTACTCGAACCTCAAGGGGTACCGGTACATGGAAATGATTTAATGGAGAACATTTAGATATGGGTGAAGAATGGTTGGGTGTTTCACATTAGTCATGCTAAAAATGACTTTTGATCATTAACATTTGATGTGAAGAATCCTATTAAGATTGGTATATGTCTCAATATGAAAGAGTTTATCACTCGCATTTGAATCATCCATCAATTCCTTTCCAAGTTTCTTTTCCTTGCTTAGAAAATTCCAATACAATCTCCTTGAGTCTCTTCTTAAGAATTCACATTTCAAAACAAAAGAAATTTTGAGATAAACATGAAAAATAAAAATAAATTTAGCACACAAATAAAGCAACTAAGAATAAGAATAAAAATTAAAATTAAAATACGCTAAAAACAATGTTTTTGGATTTTTTTTTTAATTTTTTCTAAAAAAGAAATAAACAAAAATAAATAAAACAGAAATAAACATACTTTTGGATTTTTAAATTTTATGATTTTTCTATTTTTGTTTGATTTTTTAATTCTCCCCCTAAATTTGTGCTTAGAGGAAAAATATGAACAAATTTAACAAAAATTAGATACAAAATGTACAAAACAAAAACTTTTGGGATCAAAGTTGTCAAGCAATTTAATATCTTTTATCAGCACACACCTGCGTGTTTAGCTCTGGTCAATCACCAATATTGTGTTCCACTTAAACACAAATGATATTGACAAGTTGGACAGATTATAAGTGACAAGACGTTTCAACTATATTCCTAAATAGACTATTTTGCTGACGATGACCAATGATATTGTTGTCCACTTAAATTCAACAACCAAATCTATAGACAACCTTTAGTTAATTAAATTTTAAGTACACTAGAACGTGTTCCCCAGTCCACGACATACCCTAGCAATTAAGGAATTCCAAAGAGCTCTTTATTTTAGGTGAGTGCTCAATTATTTTAGAGATAATAGATATAAAGATGCATATTTTGTGCCCTAGGTCGGATCTCTTCCAATCACGCAGAGGGGATAGCATATGACTAGACCATATAGATGGATAGAGAGATAGAAAGTTGCATGTGTTGTGTCCCAGGTCGGATCTTCCGATCACGCAAAGGTGGCAACATATGACTGACATAGAGGATAAGAAAGAAAAACAATTTCACACAGACATACTTTATCAGAACCCCTAGTCACCCTATCAACACCAGAATTAAGAACATTTTTCCGTACGTTGAAGAAGTGTTGAGCCACAATTCTAGATGATAAGTAACTTTAATGTATCTTATAGGCTCCCTCGTTTATCTCACTACTCAATCTATCCAGGCATCGTATGGTCAGTCCAAATGAAACTATCTAAGTCCAGATGAGTTAACACTGTCAAGTCCTTTCATTACACGCATCTCATATTACCCTTTAGCACTGTCAATAGTGTCTAGTCCTTTCATTTAAATCCCTCGTGGCTACCAACACATTGAACACAGAGTCTAAACAATTTAGCTTCAGTGCATTACACACATCTCATATTACCCTTTGTCACTAAACTTTATATCACTTTCCCAAAAATACTTACGAAAGAAGACATATATATATATATATATATATATATATATATATATATATATTTGTATTTTGATTCCCCCCCCCCAATTTGTGCATGTGGAATAAAGAAAATAAAATAAGAGCGCAAACTTACAAATTTGTCTTCAAAACGAATCATTTTAGGAAAAACTTAAAAGTATCGAAAAGAAATCTCAAACTATAATTCAGTAGTTGAAGATGCATCCAAATGATCTGAGAACAGCACGCAGCTGCAGCAACATGTTCAGCATCAACTGTGTTTCAATTCCGGAATAGATCCTAAAATTCTTCACATTGTTAAGTACAATCCCCATTTGTGATCCTCTTTTTTCTTCCTTTTCTTGCAAAAAAAAAAGCACTTACCCTCACTTAAAAATTTTGAATGTTGTGTAGTTGAGAGATGTCTCCTATCATGTGTATGGAACAACCATTATTAACAAACCGAAGTTTGATGATATTCCTCCAT